CATCCATCGCCCGTTCATCTCCAATGCTCATCTCCCCTTAAGAGTGACAAGCACCCAAATCTTCGGGACAGATGACTAACCATGGCAAAACTCTCAACCAGCCCGCAAGCAGATGATGAATTTTAGTCTTGCATGATCACCTTCAGGAGCCTCCTCTCACGCTGCCACTCGCACACCAACTGCCTGTCAAAAGTGGCTGGCAAATGAACTCTGCTGGAACTCACTCTACACAACAGAACAGATTATGCATCAACTATTGATGTTCATTTATACATTCCAAGGGTTGAGTCCACCACTGAATTCTGATAAACGATATTGCTATAGCCCACCTAGGGCAAGTGACCTATTAATATAATTGGAACTCCACCCCTGGCCCTTTTCCCCAATATCCAGGCCCTGCCGGCAAAGTGAAATTTCATCTGTATAGTAACCAGGATTTGCTCATTAGTTTTAGGGATTTTTGCACACAATGTATAAAGCTGTGGCTGTTGTGCAAATGAAGCAAAATCAAATGTTCTTAGTTAGTTATTTTGTTCTTTTGTTAGTGTTCTAGGCCATTTTCTCTTCTGGCCATATGTTCTTATTAAAGGCTATTTTCTCCTCTGGTCAGATATTCTTAGTAAGGATGCACCGATACCAAGTACCGTACTCGGTACAAGTACAAGTACAGATACTTTTCCAGGACTAGACTAGAGAAAAATTCAAAAGTTAGGAGGCAGCTGCCATTTGTAAGGAGCACACGGAGCTCCTGGGATTTGTACATCTCTGTTTTAATTGTGGTATTGTGTGGCAATCCCACAGTAGAACTGGGGGTGGTAGTCACCCAGAACTCTCAGCCACAGGGGCTGAGCAGTTCCAGGAAACAAATTCTGCTGCTGGAAAAGAACTAGCTTTGCAGTTCTCTCGAGGTTTTCTGGATTTGACATGGGATCCTGGAACTGGGAGATGTCTAAGAGAATTGGGAGGGATGAAATCTCCATTCCTGGGTCCATTGTTTAGTAGTGGCCAGCACCTAAATGCACACCTGTGCACAGCACTTATGGGAAGGGCTGCACTTATGGGAAGGGCTAATGTTTTGGGGGCTCCAGCTGGGAAGAGGGACAGGTTGTGTCCAGGAGTCAGACGAACTCCACCTAGAAGGCAGAGTGGAGCCGGGTGGCTCTGTGTGCTAGAGGCACATGGAAGACAGCCAAGTGGGCTGAGAGAGCCAGTTACACATGAAGTATGTGCAACAATCTTTGGTCGGTGAGAAATTGTCTACTTGCTGAGACATTAGCAGACTGTATGTTGAAGCTTTGTAATTCTTAGGCTATTGTTTTAGGCTATTTTCTGGTCGAATGTTCTTAGGCCATTGTTCTAGACTATTTTCTCTTATTAGCCAAATGTTCTTAGGCTATTGTTTTAGGCTATTTTCTCTTCTGGTTGAATGCTCTTGAGTTATTGTTGGAGGCTATTTTGTTTTCTGGAAGAAAGGTCTTAGGCTATTGTATTAGGCTATTTTCTCTTCCAGTGCACTGTTCATAGGTTATTTCTAACAATGTAGAATACAGAATAATATGGAAAGATGGTAATATTGTTTGCGTTTTCAGTTCTATTCACAGGAAGTGACAAGGACACAACATTTCTAGCAAGGTATTTACTGTTCTTGCTAAAAATATTCTTAGCCTGAAACGTGAAAATGAATGCAGCCGCCAGATCTAAGGGCTGGCATGTAATATGCTGTCTTTTGCTTTTGGGGTTTCGATATACTTTAATACAAAGTTGAAGGGTTTTTCTCTGTTTTGTTAAACTTCTTTAACCCCTTCCATTCCCTGGGAGATCTGCCTATTTACCACTACAGACTTTGTGTATTTGACAGCAAATGAATCAATGCATTGTGCTTACAGGCTCCATACACAATTATGTGTTTGTCAGAAGCACGACATACCAATGCATGACATGGGAACTTCAGCCTGGAAAATTATTTTCAATAAAAAGAATTTCACATTAATACATCATTGCTTACTCCAGCTGTATTTGTACAGCCTTGGCCTGTTTTCATGCCACTAGATATGAATGGTAATTGCTTGCTTTTAACATATCTGAATATGAAATATCAGCTTTTTTAACACTTCGGAACTAAACCCTTCAATACAAACCCCCCCACCAAGGATGCAACGTCTGCAAGCTCCCTCACTGGCACTAAAATCTTCTCTGCAGCTTCTCCTGGGTTCGGGGTCTTTAGCCAACTTGACTTGCTGGATCGAAATTACGCAACTCCTGTGCATGGGCAAGGAAGTTCTTTCATCCCAGCAATGAGGTGTGCTGATAATGTGCATTGCGGTTTTTTTGGGGGGGATACAGCAGTTCCCGTAGAGGTGCGTTTGGATTGCAGGCAAATCAGGTTGAAATCACCCTTTTCTTGTTTTTTTTGCATTTGGACAGCTCTGCATTTGAATGGAAAAGGCTGCATTTGGCATATACCCCCATCTACATGAGCCCCAGATAATACAAACTATCCTCTTTCACCACTGTGCATAGCAGGCAGCACCAGATGCCATACCTTTCCATTACCACTCATATCCATTGACTTCACTCACACTGCAGACATCCAATGCAGTTGTAGACCTTCCTCAAACTCAACATGTTCATACTGCCTAGCTCAACCCCTCTTATCATGTGATAACACTCACACATGCCCATTGGCCACTCAGGTTCTAAACACTGCATTGTGGGAAGGCGGGGGAGAGTAGTGGCTAGATAAGGCACCATACGGTGCTAGCTATGCATGGCATGGTTTTATTTATATATGGTGACAAAACAGAAGGAAAAAGTAAGAAAACACACTCAGAACACTGTATAATGGCAAAGAAAACCCCAAAACTGTGTGCTGCAGAAGGACTTTAAAATTGTCTGCCACCACTAAGCATGAAGGTATATAGAGGTCCTTAACACCAGATCAGACCACTTCTCATAAGGCTCATGCAACCTGGATCTGTGACACCTGTGCGAAGCAGATTGATATTGCTGATCCCTCTTTATAAAAACTTCTACTTCAGTGGCAGGCAACCTTGGCACTCCAGCTGTAGGGAAACTACAACTCCTAAGGCAGGCAAGACTCCCAGAGGTAGAGGCATGATGAAATTTGTTGTTTCACCATAGTTGGAGTGCTGATGTAGCCTATTCCTTTTCTAGCAGCTTGGCTGTCATATTGACCCTCTGGCTTCAAGACATTTGGCATTACTGAGGCAAAGCAATTATGCAGATCAGCTTTGACCTCACTTTGACTTTTCCAACCTGCATGCTTATTCCAGGTCAATGGCATACTGAAGCCAGAAAAAAAGCCAGGCCAGTGTTTTCAAAAGGTGGTCAGCAGAAGCTCACTCTGTTTTCTTTTAAAGCTCAAATGAAGTCACAGAGATCTACTGTATATTCACACTGACAGACGTTGTACAAAGAACCTCCAGTATTATAGACTGGCCTTCACTTTCCAGCAGTTGCGCAGTGTGTCTAAATAGGGCTGTGCAGTCATATGTGGTCCCAGAGATTGACCACATTGCCCGCTGCACTCTGTAAGCTAACAGGATGGGTCAGACTAGGGTTGCCACCCGTACGGGAATGACCCGGACAGTCCGGTTTTGGAATCCTGTGCCCGGGTACACTCCTTTGGCAGACCCGGGCACAGGATTCAAGCCGCAGACTTGCTCACACTTATGGCCCGCTTCCTGGTTGGCTAGGAAGCTTGTTTCCCTTGTTGCTAGGCAGCCTGCTCAGTCAGGAAGCCACACTGCCTAGAAAAAAGTGAAGTCGGCTTCCTAACCAATCAGGATGCTGTGAGGTGGGTCGTGACGTGCCGCCCAACTTCCTGATTGGCAAGGAAGCCGACTTCACTTGCTGGTAGGCATCCTGGCTTCCTAATCAATCAGGAAGGCCAGTGGTATGTCATGACTCACGTCCTGGCCTCCTGATTGGTTACGAAGCCACGCTACCTAGAAAAAAGTGAAGCTGGCTTCCTATCAGGAAGCGGGTTGACATCATGACTCGCCGCCCCTCTTCTTGATTGGTCAGGAAGACTGCCTTCGTTCTTTCTTTCTCAGCATTAAAAGTCTGCTTGTAATGAGGGGTGTAACATTTCTCATGTACGGCAGCATAGAGCACTGGAGTGAGAGACGAGGGAGTACATTTCCACCGCAAGAGGGCATTGCTAAGAGCAAATAATTTAAAAGAATCATAACATACAGAGGGAAAAAAAGGCATGAGACTTTAATTTGGCTTTAAAAATGACTCCAGGATAAGCAAATATTGCTGAGATACAAGAGCCATGTGTATTCTTCCTAAAATCTTGGTGTGCTTTGTGTATTTTTTTTTTAAATAATCCATTGTGAAACTTTGCCTCTGTGCAGGATCTTTCTGTAATACAGACCAGTCAAGCTCTCTCAACTTGTACAGGGTGACTGGTCCTGTTTCCGCACCCTCCTGTCATTTTTTGCAGGCAGCCTGTAGTGGGTGGAGCCTGCTGGGCCCCTCGCTCTGCTCTTTGGATATGTGAAGCAGAGTGATGATGTCACTGCTACTTTTAAATGGTGAAAACTGACTTTGTAAAGGCATTGGGTGCACACAAAGTGGATTTATATCCTTTGTGGCCTTGAGGAATATATTTAAACACATCTGTAAAAAAATTATTTAAGACAACTGGACTTCCTGTATTTTTCTTGAAGATGTTTCACTGGACATTCGACCAGCTTTCTCAATTCAGAATGACTTGTACAAAAATGATCGGGGAATACACGTACAAGCCAGTGAAAACAATGTACGAGTCATTCTGAATTGAGAAAGCTAGTTGGACGACCAGTGAAACGTCTTCAAGAAAAATACAGCAAGTCCAGTTGCCTTAAATTATTTTTTTACAGATATACCATGACCTGGATGAATGAGAACCTGCAAAGACATATTTAAACACCAATATTTGTGCCCGGAGTTCAGCTTTAAAGTCCCGAAAAACAGATATAAACAGCACTTACCTCTTTTTTCGTGAACTCAGGTGGGTGGTCATTTTTGTCATCGATGACAATGGTCGCAGTTGCCGTGCCGATTAATCCCACATCCGTCCCGACCATGTCTTTGACCTCCACTGTTAATTCATACTGTGGGGCTGTTAATGTCTGCCAAAATAATAAAAAAGATGTGGTCATTCATTATCAATGTACATCACAGACATCCTGCAAGTGGTCTTAATTTTACACCATTCAAATTGTTTTCTAAAATCTGCGATAAACCTAAAACTGATTAAAAACCCCCAGCATGAGCTAAATAAGCCTGCATTGTCCAATTCTAACCACCGATCAGATTCAAGCTGATACCGAATATTGACAGCCGGAGAATGACATTTTTAATCTAATGGCTTTTATGGTAGAATGCAGACGGGTCTGATCTCAGACAGCTTGTTATACAAGGATAAGTCTTCACAAATGAAGTAAAGATGAGGGGAGAGATTTATTTCAACTTGATTTCGATGCAGAAGAGGGTTTTGCCTTTACCGGAATGGCCTACAATTGGGCCACGTGGGCCGTGCAGGCCAAATTTGCTTGATAAAATAAATTACAAGGCTTTATTTAACCATGCTTCTTTAAGGCACACCCAATATTCAGTGCAATGTTACATAAGGATAAGTCTTCGTAACTTAAGTAAAGATGAGCAGAGAGATTTTTCCCAACTTGATTTCAATGCAAATTTGAAGATATTGCCTTTACTTAAACTAGCCTAAAATGTAACCACGTGGTCTGCTTAAAGCAGAACTCTGGGCAAAACTGTTCTTAGCACTTGCAGTGCACAGGTAGCCCGAGGTTCTCATTTTTATCTAGGAGCTAAAATAAAAAAGGATTGGATGTATTGGATGTGAATACCCATGGCAGTAGAGGGGGGGGGGGGGGGGGAGGCTCCAGGGACCAGTGTAAGAGCAAGCTGGCTCAGAGGAACGGGTGAGTGTATCTGGTTCTACTTTAAGCCAAAAATCCCAAGACTTCATTCAACCATGCTCCTTAAAGCTACACCCAATATTCAGCTCAATGCAGCCATGTCCATTTTTGGTGTGCCTCTTTGGTGTCCCTCTTTCTCAATTTTCAAAGGTAGGTATGATTTAGGTGCCAGGTTTAGCTTTTTGGTTTGGGTAGCAAACAGTCAAGTGTGATGGGTAGGCCTAAACTGGCCATACATCTATAGCGTGGATGGGGGAATCCACTAGACCGATGTATAGTATACCGACAGCGGCGGGTGTCAGAATACCCAAACGATGACCTCAGCTGATTGGCTGTAGTCATTGTCAGGCTCCATTAACTTTGGAGAGGTTGTTCGCACATAGTGGGCCGTACAACGATGCATGGAACCGCTGTAAACATAAACAGCAATGCACTTTAATGTACACTGTTCACACTTTTGCAGAGGCCCACAAAATAGTACAAGCGCAATATTATGACGGATTCCACACGATCGCGGCTATATAATAGCCACAAACAGGCGGAATCAGTGCAGATGAATTTTTTTTTTAGTGTTTTCAGGAAAACCGTGCAGGAAATGCAAACACTATACGTTAATGGAGCCTTAAGCTGAGATTTTTTGGACCGACTCCTTCAACAAATGTCAATTGAAAAACTGAGTTTTGTCGAACTTCGGGGTCCCGACAGCGCCACACAATTTTGTCCCAATTAGGAGGACTTGGCCGAAGTGTGACCAGTGTATGGCCAACTTGGGAACCAATAGGCCTGAGCAACACCTTTTTAGTACACTGGTTTTCAGAGTTAAATTCAGAGTTGACCACCAAGATGTACCTGCCACTGAGTCAATGGAACTAGGGCTGTAGTTGTCATTAGTTGTAATTTTTTCTAATTTTTACTAATCGATTGGTTGCATTAAAAAGACCCTCTCTCTGTCTTTCTCTCTCTCTCTCTCCGCTCACCCACCAACTAACCGATAATGAGAATAGTTGCCAACTATTCTCATAATCAATTATTATCGATTTAATCGATTAGTTGTTGCAGCCCTAGATGGAACTAAAAAATCAACATGCCAAGATCTGGGACACTGAACTTATTCACTGCCCTGGGACTACCATGTTCCCAGGTATCAGAGAATATGAGCTTATGTTAGAAGCTTCTCAAAGCAGTGTTTCTTTCCAGCCAGGCTGATAGCAATACTATCTAAGTTTCATAAAAAAAAGTCATATAGAAACAGTTCATGCTTGGTAACTTTAAGAATCTGCTTTCTCAGCTATTCCAAAACATTAGTTTTCAAATTACAATGGAGACATGGAGGCTACATTAGTTCTATTCCCCAGCAGGGGATGTGTGTGCCTGCGGAGCGACACGCGCTTGTTTTGTCTAGAAAGAAAATTCTTTAACTACAAAAAGTAAAAATAAAAAATTGTGCCACAATACACGTGCCCTCTAGCCGGCCATTTTCCTCCCATCTTTTTGTGTCCATAGCGGATTACTTCTTCCTTTGTAGACAGACGCTCGTGTGGCGGTATGCGCGCCACCTTACCACCTGAGGTTCTCCGCAGCGCGGCAGTTCCAGAAGCAGCTGAGCACAAAAGATTATTTTCATGAATGTTTCACAGGTGCGAAAAGATCCTGGAGGTCGCCAGAAGACAATCTTGTAAGTTGCAAATCGATCTCTACCTGCCGCTGCTGCTTAAGAACACCCAGTAAAAGAAGAAAAAGAAAAAAAACTAAAAATGTAGTAAAAATAAAAAGGCCGGAAAGTTTATCTACTTTTTGTAGGAGGAAATAAAGTTGTTCTTTGCCTAAATTTATAAGCCCAGAGGAAGGTGTCAATAATTCATAATATTTTATAAAAGAATCCTGAGAACCACTAACTTTATTATTTATACCGCTGCAGTACCTTCTTGTATTTATAGTGCGGGCTCTTATGCTCAAAATGCACAAACTGTACCCAGAGGAACCCCCTAAGGGGAGCCCAGACAATCTTACTTCTTTAGGGGTCTTGTACATAGCTGCCCGTGGCTGTACGAGGAAAACTCCACCGCCCGGGTGGAATGGATCCAAAGATATTAGAAACCAGTTCCTGTAAAGCTGACTTTTCACTGGTCGAATTTCAGCCAAGTCATAAATTCGACCGGTGTTTGGCCCAGTTGGCACCCCTCCATTCAACAAAAGTCGACATTTTAATTGACTTTTGTCGTAGGTGATGATGTAGAAAACCTTGCCTTAGAAGTGACTTCGGTGTCAGTCAGGTGCAACGCTAATGTCCTTCCTTCAAATCCCATTTAGGAAACTATCTATGTGGACATTCACACGACAACTGCACCGATCCCTCATGGGTGGAAAAGGAGATCCAGCATGTGCCCGCCAGCTGAGCGTGTCCTCGCCCTGGCTTCAAACACTTACACGCTGAAAGAATACGGACTTCCACCACTGGATAATTTTATTGCATCTCGCAGAGCTTAACATAGTGCTGCCAATCAGAGGCTTATTTTTCGAGATCTATAACTAAGCCCCTGATTGGGTAAATGCTTTAGAGGGGAAGACCTAGGGAGGGACTTTAAAGTTATCCAGCAGAACTCAGTGGTGTGCAGCCGGATTCTTTCAGCATGTGACTGTCTACATGGAGGTTCCATGTTCTCCCCATGCTTGTGTGGGTTTCTTCCCACAATAACATGCTGGTGGGTTATTTGACCCCTGTTTCTAATGGGCCTAGTATGTGAGATAGGGTCCTTAAATTGTAAGTTTTAAGAAATGATTTGCTGATGTAAATGTTACAGATGTAAAGTACTGTGTAAATTTTCAGAATACAATGGCGCGGAGGATGCCCCAAAGGTTGTTTTTTTTTTTAGACCACAGGGATGAGAATGAGAAAAAATTCACAGCCATCCTCAGGAGCCATTTAAAGCAGGATGCGCCCTTTAAATCCAACAGCAAGCACTTACATTTTACCTTCCCCAATGACTACCATTCATTTAGCCAAAATGGAGAAATTTTGCCAAAATCTTTATACAAAAATTTTTTTTTGCTCATTCCTGTTCACTAGACCTATCTACAGTAGATTACCAAATCTATAATGAGCATTTCCTCTCCAGGGATACTCTTTGTAGAGCAATGTTTTGAGGTTACAGGCAGATCATCTAAACTATTATAAAAAAAATAGACACAGATACGAGAAACTTCCATGTGGCTAATTAGCATTACAGAAGTACAGAAAGGTTAGATTGTCACTGTGCTGTTGACCAGCTCATCGGAATATGAAATAATGATTATGACCCGTTGAGAATTCCTTCTCATTAACAACTTGGCATTTTGATGAAAGTATATGAGGTTCTGAAAAGCAAGAACACAGTGCTACAGTGTAAAAAACTATGCAACTTTACTATATAGAGGAGCATCAAGGTTCAGGGAAGCTGCGGGTTGGCCAGTTCTAACATTCATTACAATTCTAATGCAAAACGATGTGCATACTGCCAATACATTTTTTTTATTTTTTTTTATTTACTTTTTATAATGTATTTCTAAATCAGATCAGGGTGAGAAGAGTCGTTTCACGCTCTTGCAGGGCGGTTGATTCCATAGTGTGGCTTGAGCAGGCTCTATACAAAGAAAACTGTTATCTTTTAATGATCCATCCTTAACTCTCTTGCATGGCTCATCCACCCTCTTCTCACCTTTCTAAAGCTGCTCAGTCCCTTCGCTGGTTGCCAATTACACAGAGGATTCTCTTTAAACTTTTAACTCTAACCTACAATGCTCTTCCCAGCCTGTCCCCTCCATGCATTTTCTGGCTTATGTCCTGATCACAACCTCTGCTCTGCACATCACCTTTTCCTCCCCTTCACTATAATCACCTTTTCTGGACTTTTCATGAGTCTCTTCTCTGCAAACGCTTTTAACGTGCCTTGCAACCTTCACGTGCACCTTTAGAACTCACCCGCTTGAGCCAAAACAACTTCTTGTTCCACTTTCCAACAAGACACACATTGACACCTTATAATTATATACTGCTTATTGATCCAGCACTGCTTCCTCCTCCATCACCTGACAAGGTACATACACACCATCATCTTATACAATATACTGCCTATTGAACCAGAACTGCTTCCTCCTCCATCACCTGACAAGGTACATAGACACCATCATCGTATATACTGCTTATTGAT